AAGCAAACCCCAGCTTTCTTAGGACTCCATCCAGGCTATGGTTATCCTCTGGAAGCTCATAGAGACACATCTCTCTGCTCTCCCAAAGCTTGTGTGTCTCAGAGCTGTCACAGATCACCAGAAGTCCTGAAGTGCTCACTGCAAATACCATGATTTTCTCTCTCTGGACTTCTGTTTGTGTAGCTAAATGCAAGTGCTGTGTTGGATAAGGGAAGGGGAGGATTAAGAGCGTGAGTGATGTGCTGAGCACAGTGCTGCAGGATTCAGGTGTTGCTTGAGGTGCAGGGACGCTGGGTATGGTGCAGGGCTTTGTGCTCAGCCCCTGCCAGCTTCAACGGAGTTTAATGGGAATATTTGGGGGTTGGAACTAGATGATCTTAAGGTCCTTTCCAACACTAACTATTCTATGATTCTGTGAAGCATCAGGTGATGGATACAGCCAGCCAGACAAGTGTTATTTCTCTCTGAGGATCTAGAATGTTGGAGTAATTTGTAAGAAAATTACACTTTCACACTGACTTTCTAGCTTAGACCTGCCTAAAACTGGAATTAATGTAATTTCTGAAGTTTGCTTTTGGAGTAAAGTATGGAAAATAGAGATACTTTAAGACTCAGAAGTTTTGATGAAGTCTTCCATTCTGAATGTCGTGTTGGAAAACTGATGCTTTGTGCAGAAATACTTGAACTGAATGAAGCAAAGTCCTCTTGCTGTGCTGGGTAAGCCATGACAGCACAAAATGCTGTTTTCTACCCCAAATCTTGAAGTTTAATTCAGAGTTTGGATTGAAAAACAAAATTTGCTTTTATTTCCAATAGTTTTTTTTTAAAGTCAGAAACCTTGGTGGAAATCTGCTTGATGAAACCAGGCCATTGGAGTAGCTGTGTGCTCTGCGTGCAGGTGTGTTGGAACACGACTGTGAGCAACTATTGTCAGCCCAGCACCTAAGATAAGTAGTGGATACTATAGAGGGTTAAGTTGTCCTCTGCCATGTGCCACAAGAACAAAGATGTGGTCTTTGAAAGATGTGAGGTTTAAAGGAATTGGGGAATTCATGAGGAAATGAATCTTTTTTGCATAGTTTATTAATGTTTAGCAAGAACCTGAATATTTATAAAGATTATTATACACTTACAAGAGCTGATGATAGCAAAAAGAGGGGGGCCAAATGGAGAAAACTACAACAAAATGCTGGTTTAGGGCTTGAGATGGTGTTGGGAGGGGTGGTGGGGATGCAGATAGCTGTGTCTGGTATAGCACCAGCTTGGCAGAGGAGGGCTGGATGCTGAAGCAGTGCAGTAGTTGCAGCCTTCGTGCATGGTGAGAGCGAGTGGTGGTGGACTCTGGTGGATGACCCCAGGAGAGCATCTCATTAAACATGTGTGTAATTGTTCCTGTTGGAGTGAACTTTGCCTGCTGCCATCTGCTCAGCAGCTTCAGTTAATCACGAGGGGTGGGAAGAATAAAGTACAGATGCTAATGTGCTGTGTAAACCAGGAGGGGCAAGTGCTCCTAAATGTTTGGACTCTTACTGTAAGTTCATGGAGCTGACTTACTCTTGGGTCTGTGAAGTTCCCTGAACTTCGTATCATAGAATCCTGTACTAGTTTGTGTTGGAAGGGACCTTAAAACTTCTCCAGTTCTAACCCCTGCCACGGGCAGGGACACCTTCCACTAGAGCAGGTTGCTCCAAGCCCCTGTGTCCAACCTGCCCTTGAACACTGCCAGGGATGGGGCAGCCACAGCTTCTCTGGGCACCCTGTGCCAGCGCCTCAGCACCCTCACAGGGAAGAGCTTCTGCCTCAGAGCTCATCTCAGTCTCCCCTCTGGCAGGTTCAAGCCATTCCCCTTGTCCTGTCCCTCCATCCCTTGTCCAAAGCCCCTCTCCAGGTTTCCTGGAGCCCCTTTAGGCACTGGAGCTGCTCCAAGGTCTCCCCTTCAGGAGCCTTCTCTTCTCCAGGCTGAACTAGCCCAGCTCTCTCAGCCATTGACATGCACAGTGCTTTTTGTAAGATACCATGATGTTCTAAAGAATTTGGTTAAATTATAAATCTTCAAAAATAGGTTCAAAACCTAGCCCAGTGCCAA